ATATGTTTATATTACTTTAACGAAAAACGTTTTTGCTATACAATTTTTTTATCTTTTTGAATAAAATTGTATAACATGTAAATGTAAGCCAGTCTTTTTTTTCATTTGTCCTAGGCTGTATTACTGTGATGACCCCCCCGCGTATCATCCTTGTTTAATATTAGGTGAAAAACAAGGGTGAAACGATACATGAAGGCAGTTGGATAACGTTTCTGAATACAGCCCTAATGGTATTGATACTATTAGTAAAAATTCCGATGAAAAAAGTAAGCAACTCAGGCGACTGCAGCGCGACGGCGGAAGCAACAGTTAGTTCCCAGAACTACACCAATGTAGCAAGTGGGGATTTTCCTCTAGGGCGCTGGTTGAGGTTGGCAGTAGTGAGAGATAGATGGATGTATCGATAAAGAATAAAGTAATCCGTTCCGTTCGTGGAATATTGTGTGACGACATTATTGTAGCAAATACTTCCACAATTGGTGACCCCGAGTTGCAGCACGAGCGCGCCCACAAGCCTAGAACCAAACGACATATGATCAAGAATGCCGATTGATCGGACACCGCAACGAGACCCGTCTTACTCAACGAACTTCAGACAATCTCAAGATCAATCAGACACTACAATGGCAGATGACAAGGGAGCGACTTCAGAGGCCGGAAGCAATCAAAACTTACAAGATACGACAAGCGGTGGCGGAACAGGTGGAACCGGCATTGTTGAGATACGCAATCTGAAGCTACCGCCATTTTGGAAAAAAGATCCCGTCTTGTGGTTCGAGCAAGTAGAAGCACAGTTCTATACTCACCGCATTCGCTCAGATACATTGAAATATTATACTGTAGTAGCTGCTGTGGACGCTGAAGATCTAACTCAAGTATCAGACATTCTTCGAAACCCACCGTCAACAGATAAGTATAAGCACTTCAAAGATCACATTATTCTACGATTCACTGAATCGAAAGAAAGACAATTGCAAAAACTATTAACAGGTCTCGAACTAGCAGATAAGAAACCATCCCAATTCTTACGCAAAATGCGATCTTTAGCAGCGAACAATCTTATAGACGACATTATCCACACATTATGGATGAGACGAATGCCAGAAATGGTAAAATGTGTACTGTCAGCAAGCGAGGGGGTAGACTTAGAAAAACTGGCCATCATCGCAGACCGTCTCATCGAACATCAAACACCAGCATACGTCATGGCAGCGTCTACATCCCGAGCAAAACAAGACGATGAAGACAGTGTATCAACGCGAGTAAGCAAACTAGAGACAATGTTCACGGAACTAATGACAAGTCTTAAAAAAGCAAACATGCCACGCCGGTCACGCAGCCGTTCTACAGATCAAGTCAAACATCGATCTTCATCTCAAGGCTTTTCACAGTCAATATGTTACTATCACACGATGTATGGCAAACAAGCACGCAAATGCAAACAACCGTGCAGTTTCGAGACACTTTCAACACAGGAAAACTAGAAAAGCTATCGTCAGAGGCGATTAGCGATAGCAAGCATAAAATTCAAGAACACCGCCTACACATTGTAGATCAAAAAAGCAAAACGCGTTTTCTGGTAGGTTCAGGTTCAGTAGTTTCTGTGTTACCTCGTTCTTTCATTCGCTCTCCTTGTCGAACCGATGAATTAAAGCTTTATGCTGCCAATCAGACTATAATAAATACATTCGGCAGTGAATATTGCGAACTAGATTTCGGATTGCGGCGAGCATTTAAGTGGTCGTTCATAATAGCCGACGTCAAAACAGCCATACTAGGAGCGGACTTTCTGACAAAATTCAGTCTCCTCATAGATCTAAAAAACAAGAGACTAATCGACACGACGACCTCTTTAACAACGTCCGGCATGGTATGTGTTACCAACACACACAATTTATCGACTCTGGATAAACTAAACAAATTCGCTGATATCTTCCAGGAATTTATTGACGTCACAAAACCTCATCCGAGTCAAGGAAATCGCCAAAAAGCAACTGTGCATCATATAGTTACAACTGCAGCACCGATCTCTCAACGTCCCCGCAGACTATCTGAAGAGAAACTAAGACAACCCAAACAAGAATTCCAGCTAATGCTCGAACAAGGAATCTGTCGTCCATCCGACAGCCCCTGGGCTAGTTCCTTACACATGGTGCGAAAGAAATCTGGAGGTTGGCGCCCATGTGGCGATTACCGTAAGCTAAATGGTATCACATTACCAGATAAATATCCAATCAAACACGTACAGAATTTCTCAGAATATCTTCATAAAAAAAATATCTTTTCAATCTTAGATCTAGAACGGGCGTACCACCAAGTTCCGGTGGCCCAAGAAGATATTCCAAAAACGGCCTTGACAACGCCATTTGGACTTTTCGAATTTGTTGCCATGCCCTTTGGGCTCAAGAATGCATCGCAAACCTTTCAACGATTCATGGACATGGTCCTTCGTGGCCTTGATTTCGCATTCTGTTATATCGATGACATACTTATTGCATCAACGGACGAAACAGAACATCGAGAACATCTGCGATTGGTTCTGCAGCGGCTCAAAGAGTTCGGACTTTTCATCAACTTCAGTAAGTGTCAAATTGGTCGAACAGAAGTCTTTTTCTTGGGTTATTCTATAAACAGCCAAGGATACCACCCACCGACCAATCGAGTCGAAGCAATTGCAAACGCCAGTAAGCCGGAGACCATTGCCGATCTGCGACGTTTTCTCGGTATTCTCAATTACTATCGACCATGCATCAAGTCAGCAGCTCATATTCAAATTCCTCTAACCGATTTATTAAAGGATTCATGCAAAAACGACAAAAGAAAAGTGCCCTGGAGTCCGGCAGCAGAAGAGGCGTTCACACAATGCAAGAAGAGCATCGCCCAGGCAGTATCACTCTCTCATCCAGCAGAAAATGCACCATTGACGTTAATCACAGACGCATCAGACTCAGCCATTGGCGCAACGTTGCAACAGAAAATCGATGACACCTGGAAACCGCTTGGATTTTTCTCCAGGAAATTGACTCCCACGGAGCGTCGGTATTCGGCATACGATCGTGAGTTGTTAGCAATCTTTGCAGCAATCAAGTTCTTCAAGCATATCCTTGAAGCTCACCATTTTGTCATCCAAACCGACCATAAGCCTCTCGTGTATGCTTTTCGGCAAAACCCAGAAAAAGCATCTCCACGCCAACTAAGACAACTCGATTTCATCTCACAATTCTCTACCGAGATATTACACATCAACGGAAAAGAAAATATCGTAGCAGACGCACTTTCACGACTCAACGCCATATCTGTACCATCGATTGTCGACGCCCAAGAACTCAAAGAGGCTCAGCAAAACGACGAAGAGCTGGAAGAAATATTAAGAGGAAATACGTCTTTAAGACTCAAGAAAATCAAGCACGAATCAGGAGAAGAGATATATTGCGACACTTCTACAAATATCACTCGTCCGTACATTCCAAAGAATCTTCGACACAAAATTTTCGAGACGATTCACAATCTATCACACCCAAGCGGAAGAACGACGAGCAAACTCTTACAGCAAAAATACGTCTGGCCAAGTATCAAAACAGACAGCCGCATGTGGGTTCGAAACTGTGTGGCTTGCCAACGGAGTAAAATTCAAAAACACAATAAACCACCGTTACAGCAATTCGACCCACCAGCTCATCGATTTCAACACGTTCATCTAGACTTAGTGGTGTTACCACAAGTAAACAACTTCCGATATTGTTTGACGATCATCGATAGATACACCCGCTGGCCAGAGGCAGTTCCGTTACAGGACATGTCAGCTGAGACTGTCTGTAAGGCATTTTACGACGTCTGGGTTTCTCGTTTTGGAACACCTAAAACAATCACAATAGATCAAGGCTCTCAATTCGAGTCAGCTTTATTCAATGCTCTCGCAAAACTATTAGGAGCTAAACGGATCCGGACAACTTACGACCCCCAATCGAATGGAATGATTGAAAGATGGCATCGATCTTTTAAAGCGGCATTAATGTGCCACTCAAATACACCTTGGACAAAGCTCCTATCTACAGTTCTTCTGGGACTACGCACAGCTATCAAAGAAGACATAGAGTCGTCTCCAGCAGAACTTCTTTATGGCACAACACTCAGTGTTCCAGGCGAATTTTTCATCGATGAAGAAATCGCCAAAGACCCATAGATTTTTCTAGAGAACCATAGAGAATTCATGCGGCTTCTACGACCAACACCAGCCGCACACCATTCACGTAAGTCTATGTTTATACTAAAAGGCATGGAGTCATGCCCCTATGTATTCCTACGCGCTGACCACGTCAAAGCGCCGTTAGAACCTCCATACTCAGGCCCTCACAGAGTTCTCGAGAGAATCAGCGACAGATTATTCAAAATTAAAGTAGGAAATCAAGAGAGGGTTGTATCCACTGAACGGCTAAAACCAGCATTTATTACCATCACCGAGGAAACAGACGACACCGACACGGCATTACAAAAGAAAACCTTGCGAACTTATCCAGCAAAAACGGTGAAATTCAAAGTTCAATAGACGCCTCATTTTCATCGTGACAAAGTCACTGGGGAAGGAGTGACTGTGGCGGCTCAGCCCGGATCAGAACCAGCAAGGTCGGCAACTCAGGCGACTGCAGCGCGACGGCGGAAGCAACAGTTAGTTCCCAGAACTACACCAATGTAGCAAGTGGGGATTTTCCTCTAGGGCGCTGGTTGAGGTTGGCAGTAGTGAGAGATAGATGGATGTATCGATAAAGAATAAAGTAATCCGTTCCGTTCGTGGAATATTGTATGACGACATTATTGTAGCAAACACTTCCACAATACTACTAATAAAAATTCCGATGAAAAAAGTAACTTAAAGTTACTTTTTCAGTAACTGTAACTGTAACGAATTACTTTTCAGAGTCAATAACTTGTAACGGTAATTAATAACTTTTTGAAACAGAAAAACTGTAACTGTAATTAATTACTTTTACAAAGTAACTTTCCCATCCCTGATTCTAATGATATCATTTGTATAAAATATCAGTACAAACTTACCTTCTTAAAAAAGGTAAAAAGAGGCGCTAAGCATATGTGCTTCTCGAATAAAATCTAAGTAACCAACACAATTAATTGTAGTTTTAATATTTCTTCAAGGATATTCTTATTGGAGGTCTTCGTATTCCAACCCAAGTAATGGCAGCTTTAATTCTCTGTCAAAAATTATTACTCTTCAAAAAAACGAATGTATCAAACGAAAAATTAAAACCCAGATGCTACAATCTTAACTAACCAAGTTAAATTCTATCAAATTAAAAAGTAAAACCCAAGTGGTACTATCTTTGTTATTTACTTAATTCTTACGATATGTATCATTCGTATAAAAGATTTTAAATCAACAAAATTGGCACCAAATTAAATAACGTTCCAGTTCAATATATGATTTTTGATAGTTTATGTTTTCTGAAATTTGTGTGACCACCATTTTATTTTACATAATATATAATTATTGTTATAATGTTGAAATAATAATAAAAATTTATTATCATTCTACAATAAAGTAATGACATTAAAATAAAGAAATAATAATATTGATTATACAGGGTGACCCATTTTAACTTAGACAGCCAATTTACTCGAAACATCGCGATTAAATAAAAAAATGTTTAAAACAAAAATTGTTAGATATGAAAGGGCTGATTGAACAATGACCTTGACAATGACCTTGTCCTTCATTTTCAAGGTCATTTGAAGGTGAAGGTTATTTTTTTAAATGGAAAGCCCCATTTTCCGTTGAATGTTCTTGTAGCTTACCTCGAGAGCTTTCCAAAACACTATAATAAAATATTTTTTCATTAAGTACTTCTCGAGTTATAAGGCTCGAATGTTACAGTACCGCCGCGCCGCCGACATTAGCATTACGCAAGGTATCCGACCGATGACTAAAACCTCTTGAATGTTGTTCAGGATCATATCCTAGATAACATTCGTTAAGATCAATTTCATTGGAGATTGTTTCTCTTATTTTCATTTTTACATAAAAATGAATTTTCAGTGCAAAAATGAAAATAAGAGAAACAATCTCCAATGAAATTGATCTTAACTAATTGATCTTAAGCTCTCGAGATAAGCTACAAGAACATTCAACGAAAAATGGGGCTTCCCATTTAAAAAAATGACATTGACCTTCAAATGACCTTGAAAATGAAGGACAAGATCATTGTCAAGGTCATAGTTCAATCAGCCCCTTCATATCCAACAATTTTTGTTTTAAACATTTTTTTATTTAATCGCGATGTTTCGAGTTATTTGGCTGTCTAAGTTAAAATGGGTCACCCTGTATATAAAAATAACGTTTATGTATAAAATATATACTTATATTAAGATGTAGAATTTGAAACATCAAATAATTTAATAGGTTTTGGTTTAATATGTTTGATCTTTACAACTTATATTTTCCCTTTGTGATCACCGTATTATTTTGTATATG